ATGCTGCTTGGCCTGCTGTGTTCATCCAGCCCTGCACCTTGTTGTCTAGAATTAAATCTTTGACTTGTTGCTTTGTGTTGTCACTAGTGTGATTGAAATTTAAGTCTTTATATGCAAATTAATTGCCGTCGCCTCCACTAAAGTGCTTGGATGACAGTAAATATTCCTATTTTGAAAATGGCTCTTCATTTGACAAGACAATAATGTGCCCTGAGTTTTAGATCAGCTCTTCTAATCAATCTTTACATGTTTCCAGCAGCTCTGATCTGTTTTAATTCCAGTACCAATCTGTTTTTCCTCCTCTGGGACAGTGGCGACTTTACCTTTTAATGATTCTGTGAATTTCATTACCATTGCCCTTCCTAGTCAAATGGGAATTCAATTATACTAACTAGTTTAATGTGATATGTTTTATTAAGTACCTTTTTGTAAGTCCATATGTGCATCAAATGCCCTCTCTCCATTATTCCCTTTTTAATAAATGTCTTGTCATTAATTTGCTCATGTTAGGTATCAGGTGATAATTACATTGGTCTAATATTAATTTCCAGTTTTCCCAGCACTGAGCAGTTGACAGATTCATCTCTCTCACTCTTTTCAATTCTCCAGTCCTGAGAATTGGAAGATAGTAACTAGAGTTTCTGCTAAACCCACCTGCTTCTCTTGGGGCGTAAATTAGATATGACCCACTGGAATGGGTGACTGCTTTTCCACTTTGAATATTCTGACCTCTTAAGTCCCATTGTCGTTTTAGCCTATCAAACCTATTTACTACCTTCTCCTTTATAAAACAACAGCATCCAATATTGTGAAAACAAATGCTAAATACTCGATTGGTACCTCGGCTAAATGTATTCTTGTTCCTGAATACTGATGCACAGAAAAAAATATAGTTTATTTCTGTACAAAGTTACTAATCTGACATTATCAAAAGCCTTTTTTTAATATAATTATAATCTGACGCTATTTAGTCAATTGCAAGAATGTGTTAAGTGTGTACCTGAACTACTACCTGTCTTCTTGCCAATTTCCTGAGCACAGCCCCTCTTCCAAAGTCAATCGTCTCTCCATTTGTTCCTTGCAATCTTTTTCGTACGCACTCCAGATCTGATGATGTGATCCCTTTTAGTTTCCCTAAGTGCACTCCACACTGAAAAAAGGTGCCATGCTCCCACTTCACTAACCAATTGAAAATATACTGATTTTAAGAACGTTCTGTCTCCCTTTTGTGATGCCCACCACCTCCACCCCTGGGCCCCCATTTTATGTAGGTACTTCTATCTTTACCAATATTTGTCTTTTGTATTCACTTAGGTGTATTTGATCTCCTAATTTCAACCACACTGCTTCTGTCTTCATCCCTGAAGTAATAATTTTTCTCTAGTGATATAACCATATTTCTGTTCAATACTGCCCCGCCCTTATCTTTCCTAAAGGCAGCGTGTAGTGCGTGATGTTAAATTCTCAACTCTCCTGTGTTTGATTCACAGCTTGGTTATTGACATTCCATTATAATCCCTTGTGACAATACTTTGTGTATTGGAGCACATGCACAGCTTGCATTGTATTTTCTCCCATTTCTGAGTGCTTTAGGATTGCAGTGCAGTTTGTTTCTCCACTGTCCGTACCTCCTAATTATCTCGTGCTCCTCCTGTTGTTAAGAGGAGGTTTAAATTAATTTAAGGACACTGATCCCAGCTGTTGAGG